CAAATCTGTTAGATTCCTTTATGCAAGGAACCAAACAGCAGCAAATAATACTCACACACTCAACAGTATAAGGAATATGTATGTATATGTATTGATATTTCCTCTGTAATGATAAGAAAAGATGAATACAGGTATCTCACTCTCCCCCAAGGAAGCCTCCCTTCCTCCACTGGCCAAGAGGTCCAGTCTTAATTCCAAAATCCTCAATAATCTACCTCTCTCAAACTATTTGTTATTTATACTCTCTCACTCTTCTAACAAACTCACCCTCTCTCCTCTAACTGATTTCCCCTCTACCCGCCACTAACTCTCTCTTCTTTTATTCCTCCTCACATACACTTTTAATTGTCTAACACCTTGCTGTTCTTAACTTACTTCCTCTTGTTCCTCATAGATGCACCAATTGTTAGGTTCACTTAATAATAACAAGAACACACAAGAACAAGAGTGAAAGGAACCAATTGTATCATAACAAAAGGTTCTATAAACATAGTACGTATGAACACCATGTACTCCAAAGAGTAACAAGTCTCTGTATATAGAACTTAAGGATATCATAAAACTATTAAGACAAAACATCATCTAATATGGGTGGTAAACAATAGATGGTCTAACTAAACACTTCTAGACGTTTTCTTCTAAACGATCTTCTGTTTTCTTCATTAGACAATCATGATTTAGAGCCTAGATAACAGCTGGGATATAATTTTTAAAAACAATTTGAAATGATCTACTATGTTTTATTAAACTAGTGAATTGTTATTATAATAGATTTGTCATTTACAGACAATGAGATCACTTGATCAAATAACATCAAGTTCGTTATTGAAATCTGTTACGTACCTGAGTACGTAAACTAGCCAAATACACCCTTTCACACTCTCACACACGTAATAGAACAATAAACTAATAACAATGGATGAATGAATCTCTTTTATTGATGGTAATATCTGAATAAACAAGGGTAAACAATAATTGGGAGCATAACCTCCTTCAATTACTTTGGGAGCATAACCTCCCTCACAAGACAATAATGTCTGTCACAAAACTCAATAATCAAAAGCCTGTCTTTAACCCTGGACTCTAACCTTATTTATATTAATTATTTCCCGCCCAACTCTTATTAAATATTCCTCTAGAATATATCTGCATTTAATATAAATATCCTTATATTTAATATTTAATATTTAATATAAATATCCCTATATTTAATATAAATATCTCTCCGTATATTATCCTAGCATATATCCTTAATTATAAATATCTTATATTGAATATTTTCCTAAATATATATTTATTTACTCTAATTAACTTATACTAAATATTCTCTCTGCTCATATACTTTCCAACCCTTATTATTACCCCTACCTTAGATCGTAACAAAATCACTCATTGGTATGCTGTTATTTGATGTCTTTTTAATGGTCATAATTGGAGCTCTTTCTTTGAAGTGACTATTGAATAATTGTTAAGGTTTTATTTTTGTACATTATGATCTCTTATGATCTCTTAAGGATTCAACTGTCATACTGAACCAAACCAATTTAATTTGCTTGTTTTTTAAATTTATACCTGTAAGAAAATATGGTTTTTCAATATGTTTTCACGTATAGAGTTGTCTTCAGTGATAATGTCTTGATGAGGATAAAAGCAAACATGATACCCAGTTGTCATAACCTTATACTGCTTCTGCAGGCTACGTTTCATGTAAAATTTTTTTATGGGAAGTAAAGTGTCAGAATCCCATTATTCATGCTGCAGATAATATTTCCCTGTACAATTTTAATTACATAATTAAGAGATTTAATTGCATTCTCTTTTTAATGGATGACTGTATATTTTTTGTTTATTGTACATGATTATTGATCCTGAATTGTAGGGATGCGTTATATCCATCATATATTGAGATTTTCAGCTATTATGCCTTTTTATTGATATAAGAGCAATTGCTCCTCTATGAACAATATTAGAAACAGTTTTTTCTGACATTAAGTTTATTGGTAATCTTGTAGGCATCAAACCTTTTGTATGTTGACCAACCAACTGGAACTGGCTTTAGCTATAGTACTGATTTGCGCGACATTCGTCATGATGAAGATGGTGTCAGCAATGACCTGTATGACTTTATTCAGGTACATGTGTTTGCTGCGGAATAGGAATATTAGTTATGTAATTTTCGTATAAGGTTCACTTATTACGTTTTTATTTGAGTAAATTATAATTCATTTCATTAAGAGATACTAAAATTACACTTCCTTCTCTTATTTTAAAATATACACCTGATATAACTAATTGTCATCAGCATATTATGTATACTTCTGTCAATACTCATCATAATCGCAAGAGAATCTGTGAACCATGGGTCAGACCAAAAATTAACCAATCTGTCATTACCAAATTGCCAAACATTGTTTTCCTTTATTTGAGAATAATTTTTCTTTATATTTTCCCATACAGAAGAAATAACAAAAAGTTACCATAGAATCATTTTTCCAAAGAACTCTAGCTGCAAGAATTTTGGACCAATCCATGTCTTTCTTGATGTATTCACATCAAAGATTAACCATGTAATCTTCGTTTATTTCTGTTGTTGATCACAATCAAACACCACCCTCTTGATAACCCAAACATAGCTTTTCCCTGGCTTCAACAACCGTCTTATTAGTAGTGATGTTGTTATGTTCTTGAGTTTGAAACCTAATTAATCACGATCACCGTAGGCAGAAAAGATAATAAAAGAATGAATTTTTCTTATTAATGGTAATAAAATTCTCTGAATAAACAAAAGTAAACAAGGATAATTGGGAGGATAGCCTCCCTCATAGGACTGTAACCGCCTGTCAACAAACTCTAATAAAAAACATACCCCTCACAATATAATCTAGCTCTATTTATATTAAATATTTTCCTAGAATATGGCTCTATTTACTATAAATATCTTATACTGAATATTTCCCTATAATATAGCTCTATTTACTATACTTATTTTATATTGAATATTTCCGTAGAATATAGCTCTATTTACTATAATTATCTTATACCGAATATTTCCCTATGATATAGCTCTATTTATTATAATTATTTCCGGCCCATCCTAACTGCTACAACAGTTAGGCGTATCGATCGACTCCATTTCTTCATCTTTTTTCAGTGTTCGGCATCGAACCCTCACCACCTTCAGTTGTTCGGCTCGATTCCTTACCGCCTTCCATCGTTCGGCTTGACATCTCCCTGCTTTCCACCATTCGGTGCCCTTCTTCTTCGCCCTCACCGTCTTCCACCTTTCGGCTCGATCTCTCCCCGCCTTCCACCGTTCAGTGTCCTTCTTCTTCTCTCATATACTTTCTTCTTTTCTCGTATACCTTCCAACCCCTAGCATTATCTATTACCTTATATCCTATCATTACACCCCGCTGTAGAACAACCTTGTCCTCAAGGTTGGAAACGGGAAGATTGATGTCATGGCTCCTCTTCATCCTCGTGTTATCATATGAAGGGAACCCACTAGCTATAGCCCTCCAATTCAGGTCTGAAGGCTTGGGTGATGGCAATTCCTCCTCCAATGACTCCCCTTCTTCCTGGATCCTATTAGCTTCCAGCATTCTGGACACCTTTTTTCCAGAATTGTAGGCCTTGAGAAAATGGTCTTCGAGGTCTTTCCATACTTCAAACAACTCTCTCCCCTTTGTAGGTGTATCAAGAACTGCAAGCTCCCTTTTCTATTTGCTGGCCCACTCTTCACAGAATCCATCCTTCTCTCTGGGGCATTGATTCTTCCATCCACCGTTCCCTCCAAAGCCTTCATTCTTCCTTCCATCACGCTTCTCTCCCCATGATCCAGCCCTCCTCGCCCGTTTGGCTCCGACCGTCCTCTTCCGTTCGGGTCCGTCTATCCTCTCCCGTTCGGGTTCGTCCTCTCCCGTTTGGTTCCAACAGTCCTTTCACGTTTGGATCCGGCCGTCCTCTCTCGTTCGGGTCCTATAGTCTTCTTCCGTTCGGGTCCGACAATTCTCTCTCGTTTGGATCTGACAGTCCTCGCACGTTCGGATCCGACAGTCCTCTCCTATTCGGTTTCGGTCGTCCTCTCACGTTCGGATCTTGGTCGTATTCTTCCGCGGTCCCCGATTGCTTACTGGCCACCAACCTTTTGAAGATTGTACCCTTGTTCCGTTCTCCAAATCGCACCACTACTGCTCCCTTCAGACCTTCCCAAGAATGATTCTTGGCTTTCTCCTTCCAGGCTCTGAACCAGTAGCCAACGCTACCCTCCATACTAATGTCGGCTAGGCGCACCTTTTCCTCCTCTGCCACACCTTGCGACTCGAAGAATTTCTTTGTCTTAGAGATCCACCCCAACGATCAAACCCTTCGAAAGTGGGTAGTTCTACCCCTTCTACCCAATTAGGTTGGCCGTCTCCTCGGTCTTCATCTAGTTTCTCCTCCGAGCTCTCCCTTCTCCTCCTTCGATTCTCGTTAATAGACTCCTGGCTTCCATCCAAATTTCCTTGTCCCACACTTGTAGAGCATGGGAAGTACCCACTTGGCCTGCCATTTATCAACCCTGAAAGTTTATCTGATTTTAGAATTAGAAGAATCCAATATCAAAAGATATCATTGAAACATTTGCTTTCAAAACAGAAATGAGGAAATTCCAATCAATGGGGGTGTGAAAAGCTTTTCTGATATCAATTTTGATTGCTATGTTTGCAGAAGGCCACTTCTTGTCTGAAAGGTTTATAGCTTCTGAGGTTGTGCCGATGCAGTCAATGATGCTCTTACCAGGAATGAAAGGAGAGACAAGTTTGCCTACAACCAAAGCTAATCTGTCCGTTAAAATCTTAGAAATAGTCTTTGGAATTAAAATAATGTGATTATAGTGGTAACTAGGAAGCATCCATTAATCTCCAAAAATCTGCAAAACTGAATTGAATTGATCAAGAAGAATGATATCCCACAAGTTTGATAAAAAAACACCAGAAAAACCATTTGAACCAAGAGCACTGTAAGAGGAAATGTTGAAAACAGCTTGTGTAACTTAAATTAAAGTAGGCTGCTCTGTAAGAAAATGATTATCCATTTCTGTCAATAACTCAGGAATAACATTAGTGATATTATGTACGTTAGAGCCTATATTAGTGTAGAAAAAAAAATCTGTTGGAAATGATTTGCCACTGGTGCCTCAATGTCAACCCACTATCAATGGCCAAAATATCATTATGGAAGTTGTAATCCTAAATGTCTTTATATCAAGATTTCTTTCTTACATTAGTGCTACAAGGATTTCTTTTGAAGTTGCTGTTAGAGAAAGTGCGTTTTGGAAGCCTTGTTGGTCATGATGGCCTCTACCAGTTTCCTGACTTACTACATTTGTTCTTTGTATTTTCTGACAAGTTTCCTATCTTGTTCTTCAATTTCATTGTTTGTGATATGTTCTCTATTTTGAAGTCATTACTCATAGTTCACAATATCTTTGGTGTGGAGCATTTGCCAAGCACCACTATAAAGTATCACCTCGTGACAAAAAAAGTTAAAATGAGCCGCCTCTTGTGTGAAAAACTTGAGTATGACATTTTATAAACAAAATCATATAACTTAAATTGATGAGCGTGCAATAAAGCCTATAAGATTTCTGTGTCACAAAAGGTTAAGTTAATGTACATCAGCATGTGTTTGAGAAGAGTGTATCTAGTTAAAGCATTAGATGTTAGCAGGGTTAATCTGATCAATTGTACGGTTAAAATTATTTCCTATCACCAGAGTATCATGTAAGCAGGGGATTGTTCTTGCCTTAGATTTCTTTAGCCTTATTCCTCTATGATATTTGTCACTTGTGTTTTGAATTATGCATATGCCAAAAAGTCATGTGAAGTAAAACAATCAAGGCACAGGCGAAAGAAAGTGAGAAGTTATCAAGCATCCGTAATAGATTTAGATTAGATGTTCCCATCAACCATGCCCCATCTTTGGTTTTGTCATCATCACTACCATATTTAGCATCTTGTCTCAATCTGTGTACCGTGCTTAATGAAGTCTCTTCATGATCATTTAAGTGGGAGCCTCTATACTGACCCAGCCCTTGAGAAATAGGATTTTGGCTGTCAGAATAAGGATTGTCCATACTGTATTAAAAATAGTCAATTTGACCATGCAGCTAATCCACACTCTTGTTTCATTGATACTCAAGCCTCAAACCTTCTGAAGAATTCTAAGCCATCTAATCCGTATGAGGGCTTTCAAAATGCTAAAATTTGATTTTACACATCATGGCTAACACGTGAAACAAATTTAGTTGGAGAGAAAATTTAAGAACAGATTACCCAAATAACGAAAGAATTTTGGATGTCATGCCTAAAATTTAGAGCAGGTTTATATCTGCACACACGTGTGTGTATCACAGTGCAGGGAAGTAAGAGTGATATATATGTACAGACATAGTAAAACTGATGTTAGATTAAAAAACTGTATTAACAGTTAATTTCTTTTTCCCTCAGGCCTTCTTTGCAGAGCATCCTCAATATGCAAGAAATGACTTCTTTATTACAGGTGAATCATATGCTGGTCACTACATTCCTGCTTTTGCAACACGGGTCCATCGGGGCAACAAAGCTAAAGAAGGAATTCATATAAACCTGAAGGTTTGTAACATCACGTGATAAACCAATCTAACTTTCTCTGACAGAATTTCATTGAAGGAATGAATAATTTCTTATCTTACTATTATTGTTTGAACAGGGATTTGCCATTGGTGATGGACTTACTAACCCTGCAATTCAGTATAAAGCCTACCCAGATTATGCATTCGAAATGGGAATCATTAAGAAGGCTACACGAAACCGCCTTAACAAAGTACTGGTTCCAGCCTGTGAATTGGCTATAAAACTATGTGGTAATATACATTTTGGCTTTTTACCTTTTTACAGATGTTACATTTCTTGTCACGTTGGAATGTGTGTAATGAGGGCTATGATGGGTTGAAGAGTCCAGCTACCGAATGCTTGAATTTGTTGGATTGATTTTTTATGCTCCTACAAATCATTTCCAGTATTAAACCGTATTTGAAATAATGGACAACATATCACTTTTTTTTTTATAAAAGTTCCATTTAACATTCAACCTGAGTTGACCTTTTGCTCATGACATCTGCATGACCTGGATTTATATCCAATGATAACGTTTAGTAGACAATCTAAACTTTTAAAAGTGCGTAAATTATAGTGATTTTGGTGGGGAAGCATATTTTCTCGATTAAGACCACAAGACGTGGAAGAGAGGAGTTTACAACATTTCTATTGAATGGAATAGAATAACCTTATTACGGCTGATTTTCAGCGGGGGTACTGATAGTAGCTGAGAGTTGGGGGCAGTTACGATAATTATTTGTAGAAAGTAGAAACAGTATTTTTTTTAAAATATCTAATATTTCAAAATATAAATTGGGCGGTCTATCAGTTAGAAGTCCCATTTTTCTATATTATGCATCAAAACCCATATTCCTTGTACACAAACTATTATTTTTTAATATATAATTATCGTAAACTTTACTAACAATTTGGTATTTGTGAATTATTTTGAAGTCTTATGAAATCCACGGACAACTCTAGGTATGGAAGTGTATAGTAAGATTACAAGTTTGGTTATTGTTAGATATATTATATCTTTTATCTTTTAGTTAGTTTGTTATTATTTCTCATTTGTATTTTGGGCTTAGCCCATATTTCTTGTATTATAAATAGAGAACCCTATGTGTGTATTTAACACAAGGGAGATCAATCTAATATATAGTTTTTCACTATATTCAACATGGTATCAGAGCAAGTTCTCTGATCCTCTTCTGGTGGTCTCTGCTATCTGCCGGCGGCCGGCCGCCATGGCCGTCGGCAGTCCCTAAAATCTCAGTGGGCAGTCCATTTTTCTTCTTAAATCTGTGCCACAGTCAGCACCAGTCCAGACCCAGTGTGCCACTGCTGTCGCCGCCACTTTCCGCTGCCGTCACTGCTAACTCCGGCCACCGTCACCGCCGCTGCCGCCGCCGGCCACCGTCACAGATTCGACGGGTGACCTGCGGATCTGGACCGTCTCTTCGAGCGACGGCCAACCACGCCAGTTTCGAGAGCCACCTCTCAGTCACGCGCCGCCACGCAGCGCTTCTTTCCGGCCAGTCCGCCGCCGCCTTGTCGCCGGCCACCGTCACAGTTCCGTCTGGCGACCACTGGATCTGGTTCGCCTCTTCATGCGACGATCAACCCCACCGGTG